TAAAAAATTTTTTCTTTTTTTTTTTTTTTTTTTTTTTTTTCTATATGTCAAAACATTTGGTAGTATGTTTAATGGAATTTTTTTTCATTTATCTCTTTTTTTTTTATCTTTTTTTTTTTTATAACATATAAATTCTAAGATTTTTTTAATCAACTTTTTATCTTTTTTTTATTGGCGTTATTGTAAACCATAATTTATTACATTTCGAATATTATACTTTTTATAAAGTTCACTTATGATAATTTTTTTTTTTTTTTTTTCAAAGTTATTTTCTAACATTATTTCACAAAAATAAATTTATATTCTTTGAAATATGATTTAAAAAAAAAAAAAAAAGAAAAAATTTGAATACATTTTTCTTTTAGAATTTATTAAGAATAAGATATCAAATGCATATGAACATATATATAATTATATAATAAAAATTTTATTTTCCAATAGTTTAAATCAATAAAATGTCTTAAAATTTTACAAAAACATCAAAACATTCGAAGGATTATTTTTATTCTATAAAATATGAAAATATATTTTTTTTTTTTTGTTTTTGTTATAATTTGCAAAAAAAAGAAAAAATGGCAAAATAGACAGATATTTGATTTTTTAATGTTAATATATTATTAATTTTAAAATGCTATACATTTATTATTTTACTTTATTATTTTCTAAAGTATATAAAAAAAATATATGTAACATTATAATCACAGCTAAAGGAAAATATCAAAGAAACCAAATTTATAAATTATTTTTTTCTTTTATTAATTTCAGTATTTTTAAGTTTTTTAAACATTTTTTATTTTGTTAAATTAATTCTACAAAGAAAGAAATAATTTATCTAAAAAGGATTAAGATATCTTATTTCAAAGATTTTTTTATAATAGTAATTATTCTAATTATATGAGAGTATTTTTAATAATAATTTATAAAGGTAAATTAAATAATTATTTAAAAAAAAAAAAATTTTAAATTCAATTATTTTCTTTTGTTAAAATTTTAATTAAAAAAACAAAAAAGTAATCGTAATTTTTTAAAATAATGATGAAATTGATTTATATTAAAAATTTATGGGACATAGTAAAAGAAAAAGTTCATTTTATTTTTTTTGTATTGCATTAAAATATATAGTATTTTATTTATTACATATATTCATATATGTTATTTATCTTCATTAGAAATATTTTTAATAGCTTTCTTTTAAATGTATGGAAAACATAATAGTAAATTTCCATCATAATAATAAACTTTAGTATTATTTATTAATCTTAATTCTAATACTATCATTGAAACTTTTTTGTTATAATTATTAGAAGAAAAAACAGAAAAAAAAAAATATTGTAATATTCCATCTTGACAAAAAAATTTTGTTACATTATGTCATAAATATAACCTACACATTTTTTTATTTTATCATTATGGATAATTTATGAATATTACATATATATATTTTTAAATTTCTTATAATTGTCTAATATAAAAGATTTCTATAATTTACAAATAAAAATGTACAACATTTTTAACATAAAAATAAAATTCATAGGAGAATTAAAGAATAATGAAAAAATGAATAAATCAACTAGACGAAAAAGGAAAATACTATAAGAATATTTTTTTTTTTTTAATAAAAGAATTTATAATTTTTTTTAAAAATTATATTACAGATAAAAATAAAGAAAAATATTAGAAATAAAAAAAAAAAAAATAAATAAAAAAAAAACGTGAAAATAAATATATTTAAAAATAAAAAAAAAGTATATATTTCGGTTTTTCTTGTATGAAGTAGCATCTTATTAAAAATTCTTGATTAAAAAAAAAAAAAATTCCATAAAATAATATTTAAACAAAATAACCAATAAGTAAGTAAAAATATACAGTATCAAATTAAATCAGTTTTTATTTTAAAAAAAAAAAAAAAATAATCCTTTCATTAAATATACAAATCATTAAAATAATAACATAAAAAAGCTTTTTTTATTTTTTTTAAAATGATATGCATACAAAAAAAAAAAAATTTTAATTATATAAATTTATGTTATATTTGCATAGGAAAAAAATAAAATAAAACATTTAAAAAAAAAAAAAAAAAAAAGCAAACTTCTGTAAATTGTGAGGATGCATAAGAAAAAAAAAAAAATATATATTTTTAAGAATAATTAAAATAAATAACATTGCAACAAAGATACCAAAATAAAAATATAAAAAAAAAAATTGAAACATAAAGCAAGCTTTTAAAATACAAAAATAATAGTTTGTGAAAAAGGAAAAAAAATATTGAATATAAAAAAAATTGAAAAATAATGGAAAAATATGAAAAAAAAATTTAATTATGCAGACTCAATTTTCTATTAATAGATGTGATCTCTTATTTTTTTTTTTTTTTTTTTTTTTTCAAATCATATTTCCTTAAATATAATATTCTATTTTTGAATTTTTTTTTTTTTTTTTTTTTTTTTTAAAAAAANTTTTTTAATTTTTTTTTTTTTTTTTTTTTTTTCTAAAAAAGTATTATTACATAGTATATATTTGGATTATACACATTTTTATGCGTTATATTTTTGCATGTATATGTGTTTTACATTTTACTAAGAAATCTTTTGAAGTATATTTATATAAATTAATATTCTAAAATTATAAGATTTAATAGTTAATATAAATATATTATAATGAACTAAACTATTTCCTCATTTCTTTTTAAATCTATAAAAATTGACGTTATATATATGTTTGTATATATATATATCTTTTTTTTTTTTTTTTTTTTTTTTTTTTTTA